TTCTTCCCACTCTTCTAGTCTGTGGTTTGGGATAAGAACATTTAGCAACTCTACATTTTTCAGTAGGCAAAAGGACAAATATATATTTAACCTGCACAAAAGTTTCTAAACATTTTTAGGATTCTGGAGGCAGTGCTACCATTAAGGCTAACCTACAGCTTAGAAACTTTTGCTTGAATGCGCTTCCTAATTCTGCAGAAATTCAAATCAATGAATTTTTTTAAAATGGTTTTTGAAACATTATTTTAGTTTGCAACTTGTGATATATAATTTATAAACAAAAGAATATATTGTCAATGTAAAAACTGTTGAAAGCTGTATGTGTTTTTCTATATTATCATTTTGTATTATGCACTGAAAGATGTGTATGTTCTTATGCTTTTTGTTAAATGATTATTCATCTAAAAAGGTTGTTTTATTGAGAATTGTCTTTAATGTCTCCTAAGGTTTTAAAGTCTAATTCTGTCTTATAGGGATAAAAAGCAGCATGACTAAGAACTGATCAAGAATCTCAAGAATTTATTCATAACACTGAAGCATAAAAGGCAGAAGGTTCTTTTAAAAAGTAATTAATTTTGCTGTGTAAATATGGCAGATCCTTCAGCGGAAGTACCTTTTTTTATGATGACGCAGCCAGAAATAATTGAAGTAAGTTGAAAAAGTTCTAAACTTAACTGTGCCCTTTCATATACAACTTTAATGCCTACAAACTGTCAGACTTCAGATATCTCAGATTTTATGTTATAAGAACATGTGATTTCCTTATGGCCCGAATGGCCAGTAAATTAGTAAGGATCTATTAATAGCAATCGCATTTAGACTTATATATTGCTTCATAGTGCTTTGAAACCCTCTCTAAGCGGTTTATAGAGTCAGCATATTGTCTCCCACAATCTGGATCCTGATTTTACCAACCTCAGAAGGATAGAAAGCTGAGTCAACCTTGAGCCAGTCACAATAAAACTGCTGGCAGTGCAGTATGTTAGCCTGCAATACTTTATTCTAACCACTGCACCCCCATTGCTCTTTCATTCAAATGATTGTGCTGAATTTCTATTTAAAAAAAAAATTAAGAGATTTTGCTATGAGGGAGCAATAGAGGTCGGAAGATATAATTGTGACTGCTGTGGATGAGATGCAAATCCTTTTGAAAGCAAACAAAAACACAACTAGAGAAACTTCTGAGATTGTAGAATTTGAAACGTCTTTTATTTTCTTCTCATTTCAACACATGGAGTAAGTGGTGGTTCAAGACATAAGTTATATCCAATAGGATGCTTGAATTGTTTTCATACCTAGCCTGTCCTCGGTAATGTGTCATTAAAGAGATCGTTGTTTGCATTGTCACAGCATTCTATTTACACAATGGTTTTATATGTGAATATGATCAAGGAAAATCTAGCCAGCAAGGAAAACCTTAGGGCAGGGCTGTCAAACTCCTGGCCTGATACATCATGTAACACCGTTATGACAATGTGAGTTTAACACCCCTGCCTTAGGGCAAATCTACACAACCTCCTTGTTCTGGAGTGAGAACAGACTACTGTCTTTTTCTCAAAAAATGTCTGCAGGACTCTGCCTATATCTCAGTGTTGTCCCCCAGCTAAAGCAGATCAAAGATGGTTTAAGATGCAATATTCTAAAAGTGTTTATTGAATATATTACCTGAGGAATCTGCATGTAGGCAATGAAGATTGTATTGATGTGCTTTGGGGAAGCAACCAGGGGTGGGATTGAAAAATGTTAACAACTGGTTCTCTGGGTGGGCGTGGCCATGGTGGGTGTGGCTTACTCGGCCTTCTGCATCACAGTGGGAGAGCGTTTTCACCCTCCCAAGGCTCCGCAGGCTTTCCTTGAGCCTCCAGGAGGGCGAAAATTGCCTCCCCCAGGCTCCAGAGGGCCTCTGGAAGCTGGAAACGGGCCCACTTCCAGAACTTCCAGGAGGCCTGTTTTTCGCTCTTCCAGAGTATCTGTGTGGGCTCTGAATTTACCTGGCCAAAATGGGTCACATAGAGACTCCTGGGAGGGGCGGAGTGGGGTGGGCAGGACCAGCCAGTCATTTTTTATTACCAGTTCTGTGAACCAGATGTAAAATTAGCATCCAGTTTACCTGAACTGGTCTGAACTCCTGAAAGCAACCAGAAGTTTGCTGGCAATGTTGTGACTCTCAGTTCTGCTGGTTTCCTGGGATAACATCCTCTTCATTCTTTTCCCTGACTACGTTCCCTGTCCCATCAGGCTCTCCTTATGTTAAAGTGTAAAATACACATAAAATGTATGTGTATTTCATATCTGACATATTCCAAAACAATAAAAGTAGCTCGTACATTATATGTAAGAACACTAACTCTACAACATGAAGATTGTTTGTGACAAAAACAAATGGAAAAACTAATTCAATTTATTGAATAGCAGAAAATATGCATTAGAACCAAATGATGTATTTCTTAGTCCCTAGATTTCTAATAAAGATGCATTATCCACATACAGTAATGCAGTTGAAGCATGTGAGAGTTGGCATGTGCCTTCGAGATCGTCTAATCCAAACTCTTACTCAGACTAACTGAAGCACCCAGGACTGGTGGCCTTTGTTTACACACCTGTACAAAGAAGACTCTGTTGCATTGTAGAACAGTTTTATTGTCAGAGAATTATTCATCATGTCCAATGAAATCTATTCCATTGTAATTTAAACTCATTGCTTTTTGTCTTGTCTCCTCAACACTCTGTGGTTTCACTGTGTTGCAGTGGTTAAAGAGTGAGACTGGCACTGGAGAGACCCAGATTTTAATACACTGGAATTAGCTGAGTGGCTATGGGCCAGTCACCTCTCTCAAACAAACCTACTTCACAAAGTTGTTATGTGGTGGGGAGGGGAATGGAGGATGGAATGCAATGTTCAATGCTCTGAGCTCCTGAATGAAAGACGGGATACAGTCATACAAATAAATAAACAACTCTGACACAATTTGTCCCATCCTCTATATTAGAACCCTTCATATACTAGAAGACAACTGTCATATCACCCCACAGTCTTCTCTTCTCCAGACTTGAAATGCACAGTATTTCCAGCAGTCTCTTATAAATTTTCTTTCCAAGCCCCTTCTTGATTGCTTTCCTATAAAGGTAAAAGTTTCCCTCACACATATGTGCTAGTCCTTCCCAACTCCAAGGGGAGCTACTCATTTCCGTTTCAAAGCTGAAGAGCCAGTGCTGTCTGAAGACATCTCTGTGGTCATGTGGTCGGCATGATTAAATGCCAAAGGCTCACGGAACACTGTTACCTTCCCACCAAAGGTGGTCCCTATTTTTCTACTTGCATTTTTACATACTTTCAAACTGCTAGGTTGGCAGAAGCTGGGACGAGTAATGGGAGCTCACTCCCTTATGTGGCCCTAGGGATTCAAGCGCTGATCTGCTGACCTTTCTGATTGACAAGCTCAGCATCTTAGCCACTGAGCCACTGCATACCTTTCCTATAGACATCCTCAAATTTGTCAGCGTCCTTTCTAAAATGAAGTCAGTAGGAATAACATACTTTATAACCATTTTTGGGAACTTGAGCTTTTGGATAAGATTTTTGCAATAAATATTTTGGTATTTAAAGTATTGCATTATTATTTTTGACAGCCAGTTTGGAGTAGTGGTTAAGGAACCAGGCTAGAAACAAGGAGACTGTGTGTGCACAAATCCATCTAGGAGACTTTGGGCCAGTCTCTCTCTCTCAGCCCTAGCAAAGAGGCAATAACAAACCATTTTCTGGGACTTGTCCACTTGCAGGGACTTGTCCAGGAAGTCACTAAGGGTCAAGACTGAATTGAAGGTGCATGCATATGCACACACATACAAACACATACATAGATAGATACATGCATATAATTTCTCTTCCTTGAAAGTTCTCTATTATGGGTCAGGAGGATGTTATCATATTTTCTGCCTGGTTTTGTCTGCAGCACAAAATAATATTTTCATGGATACTGTATTCTTACACACATGATCTCAAGTGGATCCTCAGGCTGACATTCCTGAATCTTAGGGCATGTTTGCATATTCTTCACACATATTGCCATTCTTCTGCCCCCCCCCCCCCCTTTTGTGTCCTTTTGTATAAGTCATACTTTTCAGTCTTGGAATTTCATTTATAAACTTTGTCCCGGCAGCTTTCAGTAATACCTACTCAGTCATAATTTGCCTTTCAACAGTAAGACTTCTAATTCTTCCTGTTTATTCCTGATAAGTTATGCATTTGTGCCAAGGGACTGGACGCCCTGGGATACATTATTTGATTTATTCCTGATGGTAGTCACATGCTTGTGGCTCTGTTTCTCCATAATCTGCATATTCCTCCCAATCCCATTCTTAGTAGTCAGCAATCATAGGTGCTCCAACAATGGAGATTTTCAAGAAGAGATTGGTCAATCATTTGTCTGAAATGAATAGATTTTGCTGCTTGAGCAGAGGATTGATTAGAAGACCTCCAAGGCTCCTTCCAACTCTGCTATTCTGTTCTGTTATTCTGTCTGCTCTGTTCTGTTTTCTGTTCCTTACACAATTGATTTTAAAGCCCTATGGATTCAGTTTCCAAGGTACTTTCCAGACTGGTAGAATTCTTCCCAGTCTGGTGAGGTACAACTTAACTTTTGCTAGGAATCCCTCAGTGTGGAAATATATCCCAGCATCAAATATCCAAACGATTCCTGTCTACATAGCTGCTAGACATCTCTCTTCTTGGGTCATGCTCTTTGTCCTGAAATTATAAAGAAAAAACATCTGGGTGTCCAGCTTCTTCGTCCTGTTGCCAATAATTTTGTTGGCTCTTGGAATGTCTTCATGGCTATAAGAGCCAAGGTGGCGCAGTGGTTAAATGCAGCACTGCAGGCTACTGCTAGATCAGCAGTTCAGCGGTTCAAATCTCACCGGCTCAGGGTTGACTCNATATATATGAATGATTACTTTATTCAAAGGAAAACAAATCCTAATAATACATGTAGTCCAAACGCTAGAACTAACCTAAAATAGCTGTTCTGCTCCTCAATTACAAGTTGGTTTGTTTATCTACGTCACTAGAAATTTTTAGTGCACATGTGGGCTACACTTCCATTTTGGGAAGAGGAAGGACCAGATCAGTTTCCAGAAAGACAGGAATCCTGTATCATTTGACTGGAAGTGAAATTGCTGACTTGGCATCTATTATTGAGTGAGTCGAGTCGTATAGAATTGGCTCAACTGTGCCGACCTCGGTTCTTGCAAATAATAGTTTGCCTTATTTACCACTCTAACTAGTTGCTAAAACTTATTTCCTTTCTCTCAGATGAACCGCAGTGACATTTTGACCTTCTCAATGATCTCTCTTGTGTTAAAAGGAAGTGAGTCATCAGTAAAAAGCAATTGGGAATCACTGGTTTCTTTTTGAAATATTGTTTAATTACCTATTTAATTTTATTACCTATATCTTAACTGATGCTCTTTTCTGAAAATGGGGAAAAGGACCCATTTAGGTGATCCTTATGGGATCTGATAAGTTTTTGAATGCTGTAAGGAAATTTTTCCTGAATCACTGATGAGAATTAGGGGCAGTGCACAAACTATTATTGAATCACTTATGGATTGATGCCTATGATGTGAGGTGCCAAGAGCCCCTGTTTTGT